AATAATATTTACAGTAAAATCCAAATTGTCTAATTGCATTTTGTTTTTTGATAAATAAGATTTTTAATATAAGGAAACTATTTTTAATTTATAAATTAATTAATATCAAATAAGTTTACAAATAAGTCTCATAATTAACAATGCAATTGAATAGCAACAATGGAAAATATATGTATGTACAAGGTGAGAATATTTAAAAATACATGTGATTTATACACAAGAATATTTTATTCAAATGAAAAGAAAATGAAAGAAAAAAAAATCAAATTTTGTTTTACCATTTTATTTAATATTCTCTTTCTTGATATTCTTAATAATATCTTTCAATACAATATTTTTTCTTAGATCCCTTCAATATAATTCCAATATTGATCCCTTTAATTACTTTAATATTATTTATTAGCATATTAATATTTCCTCTAGATATAAAATTACATAAATTTCACACTTCAAAAGAATTAATACAGATTCAAATTCCTCTTAGTATGAACATTATAAATTTCTCAATTCTCGAATGTTCATTTTTTGATAGAGTCTAAACAGAATCTAATCAATGTTGCAATAAATTAGGATCAATGAGTGCAATGTTTAAATGCGCAACCAATTTATCACGAACAAGTATCATTAAGCAGAAATACAAGCAAGTTTATTCAAGCCTGATCAGATGAAATCACGATTAATTCACATAGTTGCCTAGAGCATCAATTCGGCATCAGATGATTGTGTAAATTTTCCTAATGTGATGTGACGCGCAATTGCTCTCATAATGCAGACACGTTCGTCCAAATCTTATAGATATCATTTGTAAAAGATAATAGATTCGTTAAAAAAAATAATATTTAATGTGATGCGAATATATATAATAAGATTCTTCTTGTATTATATGAATAAAGACAAAGTCGTTACGTAAAATGATAAAGTGCTGGAACGCGTGACACTTGGATTAAATAGAAGAAAGTGGTCACGGTGAAAAGAGCAACAGACGATACACATGGAAATCACATCTGTGCGTAACAACTTTCTTCTTCTGTTCAATTTCACTTTCTTACGATTAAATCTATAACGCTAAATTATTTTTAATTGGAAAAGAAAATTCAAACCTTCGATTGTAATTTCAAATTTTCAGAATTTTGTGCTATCTCTAGATTCTTAAATAACTTTTGTATTCCAGGGATAATGATTTTTTTATACACTTCGCAAAGCAGTGAAATTGGAAAGTGAAAAAATCGAAATATATCTACGATAATTCGAAGAATTTAAACGAAACTCTATATTTTTATTAGTAATTAATCTACCATGAGTTATTCATTCACATTTCAGAAATTAATGTAAATTTTAATAAACCATCGCTATTTCTTCGTTTATTATCAATTTATTATCTAAATTATGCGTTTAAATTTCTCCAAAAATTTAATTAAAAAAAAAACCTTTGATACATTTACCACATAAAAAACGAAATTTTCATCGATCTGATAATTACGTTCGCAATTTAATTCCCTCTGATTTCGCTTTCTCCCTTCGGATCGAACGCGCGGTAAGAGAATAGGAGTAAAATGGAAACAGATTTGCAAGCGTTAACGCGGTTACAATCGAAGAATCGGAATAAGTCACGATTAACGCGTACAAGCATGCCGGGACACGGTAAACGACTACGTAAATTGTAGTCCGATCCGGTGCGTAACGAACCGATGTACCGAGGGCTTCGGACTTGTTCGAAATGGTGTACGCACGCGTCCCGTGCGTGTAATTAGGGAACATACGTGCTTCGCTTGACAGTTCGTTCGTTCTGTTCGGCCAAGTGTTTTCAGACTGATTCGCAAGGGAGATTTCAATTCGAACCGACCCTGCACAGCTTCTACTCGTTTGCATGACAAATCATGCGGAATACATTTAATTCTTTTTTTTTTTTTCCAACGAAAAACATAATTTGATGAAGAAATATAATACTTCTTTTCGTAACTTCGCAAAGTGGAAAATATTAATTTTCCATCGATTTGATATTCTAAGTAGAGTGTGAAAAATATAATTTCTTTTCGTAAAAGGTATAAATGGTTCTCTTTGAAATCATTTCAAAGAATTTTGGAATAGTTATAAGAAATTATTTTGAGGGTGAATTTTCGGATATCAAAGTTGAAAGTTAAATATAAAATTATAAACTTCATTTAATGATGAATAAATTTTTTTCTAAAAAGTTTTTTATCGGATCAATAAATTAATCATAGCAACTAATTCTTTTTCTATATTCAATATATTTATTGAATCAATTTTAATCAATACTGCAATCGTGAGAAAACAAAAACGAGAAAAAATGAGTAAACGAAGGGGAACGAAGTGCGAAGGTAGCCGACATCGTCCATGCAGGCGGAAATAAGCATCATGAGAAAGAAGAAAAGCTATTTTCACCGATCGAAGATGATAGGGTTCGGATGCGAGTAATAAATTTTAGTTGCAAGTGGGTCGACGTCACTGTAGATTGCCCTCGATTTGGACGGCGTCGAAACTTTCATTTGAAACTCATAATCGCGTTTCCTCGACGTTGTCTCAATAAAATAACGAAGTTTCAATGTTGAAGATATCGAAGAGTTTTCGAAGGAAATCGATAAGCATTCGAAAGGATTTTCTTTGAAAAGTTTCGAAAAGGAGAAAGAAAGGAAACCGCTTACTTAGTATCATCACTTAATAATTTCTTCATAAAGAAATTAAAGATCAAGAAAATAAAAAGTTTGATAAATTTTATCATCAAAATTTAACAGAGAGGAAAGGAAAAAAATCGATTCTTATTAATTTGTTAAGAAGAAAAATAAAATATTAAGAAAAAAGTTGCTATTTGTATAATTTAAATAGTATAATAATGATTAAAATTTTTTTGATGAATTTTTAAAATAATTTTCAAAAACATTTTCACAGACTTAGCTTTCACAAATCTTAGAAATTTGTAATAAAAATTTTAATGTTGTTTCTTTAACATTTAGAATGATTTATTTCACTGTTTCTCAAACTAAGAAAAGAAATGAATTCTATTGAATGTTTCTCTCTATTTCATTTTCTAACATATTCATGGAATCTGATTTTATTTAAATTTGTTGCTATTTTAAAATACAATCCAAAGATTTGTATGTACTTACTATCTCTATTAAATTGGAAACATGACTAACTAGAGATTTCTACAACCAGTTAAAAGACATTCAACCTTGATTTTGGCTTTTGCTACATTCCAATAAAAGCCAATGAATTCCATCAAGTCCTACTTTCGACATGACTCCATAAACTTGAAGATATTTACAGTTAAATGAAATCCAATTAGAAATCGATTAATGAAGAATTTTTAAAACAATGTCATTGCTTCATGGAGTTTCTAGAAATATTTCATGAAAAATTTCTTTTTCTCTTAATACTCTAATAAATAAATAACAGTTGATGTATTTTCCATAATTATGAACGGTGATGATTCCTGTGAATCGGGAAGGGAAATATTCATGAGAGAATAATCGATATTTAGCACACGTGTTCATACCGAGGTACAAAATGAAACGCAATTTTTAAAATTGACATAAATTCCAGGTAAATTGAAAAACGAATGCTAGTTACCGTTATCGTTTCACGATACATATGTTGAAACAGATATATTTCATTTTGAAACTGTTATCTCCTGTAAACTTGTTTGTTTATTGCATTAATTTCTACTCTTGCTGCTATAAATTAATAATCGTAATAATTGTCCCGATATTCACGCAAATTAATTGTACTACGTGTTTCGATTCAATAGTATCTGCTATTTTAATGAAGTACAGTTTTATTTACATTATTAAACTAGTATTTCATATTATTACAGATTATGCATATTGTTTTGACCATTCTTAAAAATCTATTCTATTTTATTTCTCATCCATCATTTCTCATGAATCTTATAGAGAAATTTGAATTTTAATTTCAGAAATTTATTATAAATCTTTTGTTAGATCAATCTACTTATAAAGATATAATATTTAAAGATTCCTTCTATCAAAGATCAACGTTATTAAATATTAAATTTAATTTATTCTATCTATTGTCTACAGTTTACAAATTTCAATAGCAATTTGCAAATTCAAATTTTTAATACTTTTAAATCGAATTCTCCTATTCATTTATAAAATTATAAAATAACGAAATAAGGAATTTAAATTTAGGTTATGTTTTCAATTATATATATATATTCTTAAATTTTCAATCTCATTTATTATCTAAATATTAATAGTGATAATAATGATGAAATTATCGATAGATTTGAATATATTTAAATTCTTTTATCATATTGATTATTTCAATTTGATCAGAAATTTGAACTTTGGAAAATATCTATACGTACTCATATGTATAAAGTATCTATTCATAAAATTGTAAAATTTAATTTTCTATCTATCTAAAATCTTGAAAATTTAAATAGCTCGTATTACATCATAGGTTAAAAGTGAATTTAAATTTTTTAAGAAAAAATTTTTCTTCATTTCAATATCCTGTTTAACCTTAAATTCTCAATCTCGCATCTTACCTGATGATTTATCAACTCAATAAATCTCTCCATCCATATTTATTAGAACATCATTTCTTCATTTGCCAAATTTCTATTTTATCCTAAAATTCATAAATCCTATTATTTTATTATTCTTTATAACCTATTAATCTATAAATCTTAAATTTCAATCTTTTATGTAAACCTTAATCCTTGATAGCAGGCATCACTATTTATAAGATTTATAATTCATAAACACAGCAAAACATTTCAGACTTGGTGTCAGATTGTCGTAATCGGCCGATATTCACGTCAATTAATACTCATTTCACACCGAGCATTCGCATCGTTTGACAGAGACATCATGTATGCGTGGAACCATGTTGACTACTCAACGTCGATGGCACGATTATTTCGCGGGCACGTAAAGTAGCGTAGTTTTGCAACGTGGACGCGCTGAATCCTTACGATCTCGCACGAACGATAGTCTTCGTGCGATTCGGCAGAGGTCGGTTGGTCTGCAGCGACTCCAGCGCTCGGAAGAGGTTCAGTCGCTTCGCGCGCCTCGTGCCGTATGTGTTGCATTTGTTCGCATCTCTAACGATTGTCGATCGTGAGAAACGGATTGTTTCGTGTGTTGATCATCGTTTGAAAGTCAGTTTTTTACGTGTCGATATTCTACAACAGTTTACGAATAACGTGATATATATTTTTTTAAGTGTTCGTTCTTTTTTTCCCGAATTTTTCCAAGTTTCGTTTTGAAAGTTTCCGGCTCGGCCCACTGGCTGAGGTAAGTACAAAAAGCGCGCGTTTCTAACGCTTTTTTAAATTTGATATTGCGTTTTCAGAGTGTTTCGAAAGATTAATATTTTTATAATGTTATTATAAATTTTTTTTGTTTAATCTCGTGATAGATCATTGTTTCATAAGATTATTGAGTTCGATTGATGAAGAGTAATTATTAATTTGATGCTATTTTCGAAAATGACATGAATAGATGATTCGTTTTTTTTTCTTATTATTGAATCTAATAATGAATCGAAAGATTCTGGGATTTGGCTATCGGATAATCTTAATCTTGCGAAAATATTGTTTTCTAATGATATGTAAGAGGTTTTTACTTTAATTTGACGATATGTCGTACATAAAAATTTTACGATCAATTTACTTTAATAGATGTCGCGTTTGTAATGTTAGAAGCTGTTTAATATACAGATGTCGCAATGTGAACATCAAATCTCCATGGAAATGTAGAAAAATTGCTATTTTTGTCAAAAGTATTGAAACAATATTTTCCCATTTTGATTCGAATGAAAATAACACGATTTTTGATCACAATGCTTTGTTTTTTTAGAAATAGATATATATTTGTATCTCGCATTAAACTCTATATTATGGTCTAAATACGAATACGATTTTTCACGATATGACCGGACCAGCCGTGAATTATTTGTCATTTTGTACGGACATAAATTCTGTTTTGGAGCTGACGTTTGGTACCGTTCAATATGCGTTCGGTCAGTTAGTTTTCTTCTCGCTCCAATAATTTGGGGGTATGCGACGTGTTTTCAGAGATAAAAAAAATAGAACAGACCTTTTTGCGAATTCAGTGACAAACGGTTTTTAGTGTGACGTGGCATTGTTGCTTACAATTAAAAAAAAAAAAAAAGGAATAGTGATGTAGAAAATAGATGTCGAAAAAAAAAGAAAGTGGAAAGGACTAAATGATCAATGATACTTTTTCTGCCTTTTCTAAAAAAAAAAAAAGAAATTTAAACAATTAAAATTAAAAAAATTTCTAAATTTTTATCTAAATTAAAATAGAATCTATTTTAATCTTTCTATTTCTATTTCTTTTCAATTTTATTTTTTTTTGAAATATTATTGAGATTTTTGAAATAAATTCAGATTATTTGTATTAAATTTTTATCTTTATATTTGATCTAAAATCTAAAATCTTGGTCTGTGCTAAATATAAGGAATGGGAAAATGCAGAAAATAATTATCAATTATAATATTTTATTTTATTTAATATACTTTTTATTTCGTGCAATCGAATATCGATGATAGAATAAGATTTCTTTTCGAGAATTAATACTATTTATAATCGTTCTATCATATGATATTGCTTTAAAAATTAAAAATTCGAAAGTGACGAATGAGAATCATAACGAGGAAAATACGTCGAATGTTAATCACTTAAATCTTCTATTCGGACGATGTTTCGAAAAGTTGGATCAACTTTCCCTATTGCAAAAGTAAATGTTTAGTTTTCATCTTTCTTCGCGCTCCATAAAAAGTACACACGTAAGTTGAGGGAGGATGATTGATAACAGTGGATGAAACGAAACACCCGAGTGAATTTCTCACGTGGTGTAAACTTTTCGTGCTTTCTGCTAATCGAAAAATGTTTCTTATTGAGCAAAAGTCGAAACCTGGATTTCATCTGAAGCCAAGTATCGAGTATTTCCACGGGATAATCACAGTATTGGCGGAAGATTATATTATAAGGATTATATTATAATATTCGTTATAATTAAACAAATATTAATTGGGGAAATCAAATATTCGTGTGTCAAAGTGTGGCAAGTGAGAAATGAAAGGAAGTAAAGGATTGTATATCGAATATATCGGTGAAGATAAGGCAAAATTAATTGCGGATATTAAATAATATGAATAATCGATGCTCGAGGCTATTGGTAAAAATATTATACTCGTTTTCATCGGTTCAATAGAAATATTAAATTGCGGATTTTAATGATTCGTTATCAGGCGTGAAGAATGCTTTCACCGATTTTTGACGAAATTTAGAGCGATTATGCGGATTATTGAAAGAGAAACGAAATAGAGATTAGATAAAAACGAAGACATTAATCTTGTTGTTTTTCGAATTCGTATCAAATTGTAAAATATTTTGAAATTATTACTCGACGATTGATTAAACATTTAAAGATACGATTATTCTGTATCAAATGTTAGAAGAAGGATATATGAAAGACGTTACAGAAAGGAAAAATGAAAGGTCTTAGATGATTTTCCTGTTCCATTTTTAGAAAAATTAATAATACGAAAATTAATAATATCAGTTAACAATATTTAATTTAATTTTTATTATATATTAATGGCATAAATTAATATCAAGAATTTCTCATTATTAAGAAAAAAAAAAGCAGGAAAAAGGTTGTCATTAATTCTCTATCCTAACTTTTTAAATTCTAATTCTGTATACACCGCGAGAAATGCAATTTAATTAAAGAGAATATTCCACAAGCGTTCTTGAATTGCAAAGAGGAAATTCGAAGTCCAGTTACGAGAAAACGTCGCCAAGTATTTTTTGAACCTCGAGAATGCTATGCAGCAGTAAGATGGCACGTTATTAACGTAGCATTCGAGGGAGTCCATGGGAGATTGCGTTTTCTATTTAAAAAACGTCTTTTGAAGACGTTCCCCTCTTCGTCTCTTCTTTTTTCGATTATGCAAATAAACCGTGAATATTACTACGCTCCACTGTAAATAGAGTCGTTTTAACTGATGACGTTCTAACCGGGAAATTACCGCACATAAGATTCCCCTTTGAAATGATCGCTTTCAAAACCGTGTATCTCTTGTCGTTAAACTTCCGGTTCGAGATACCACGTGTTACCTCTTCCTCCCTGCTCCCTTTATTTCAGACAAAGAATTTTCACCGCGGCAATTTATGAACCTCGTCGATCGTACGAGACACTTAAAACCGGATTTTCTTTTATTTTTTTCAACGGGAACAATGTACGGGGTGTTTCAAAGATATTGATCGAATTTAGAGTAGAAGTTTTATATAGTGACGTAATTTTATTTTTCGACGTTTTTTTCTTTATTATTTCTTTATTATTATTATTATTATTATATTCGAAATTTCATTTGCATGTCATATAATTTTTAGGAAAATATTACTTCTCTGAACAAAAATTTTGATGAGTTCCTAGTTAATTCATATCAGTTGTTAAAACTCACGTTTACGAACTTTTCTTCGCTTCGAGGGCAGAATTTACATCCAAATTTTCGTTCAACCACGTAGAAACATTTTGTTAGAAACATCGTCTTCGACGAATCCCTTGGTAACGATAATTAAGCCGCGGCGTTTCTCACAACGTGGCAAAGTAACCCCGTTTCCACGTTCGCCCCCAAAGAAGTTTGGCAAATAAATTTCCATTCTATGAAACTTCAAAAAAAAAAAAAAGAAAAGAAAAAAAAAAGAAGAAAAAGAAAGAACAAAAAAAAAAAAACAGCGATTCACGCTACGCCACAGGAAATGAAAACTTACGGCCAAGAGGAAGTTGGAACGTGGCTAAAACCGGAAACTTGTTCTTGGTCGTTCCATCAACGAGTGAAGTACATCAAAATAAAATTATTTCCCTTATTCTTTTCATCCTCAGCGCGCTGTAAATACACCCTCGCACTTAACTCGACCCTTAATATAAATTTTAAACTTTCGTTCAAACTTCTCCCCCTCTCCTTTTTCGTATTTATGTTTTCTCCTCGAAGAATTCATCTCCTTCCGTGGAAATTCCCCCCTCCCCCTCCCCCCGGCAAGATGGTGGCCGATTGAAAGAGGTCGATTTGTTCGGGAGGCGGGGTGAAGAGGGGGAGGTAAACACGATCGAATAGAACTACGAGCGAAGAGGATGATACTTCTGCAGACTCTTGCCGACAATTAGGAAAGTTTCAATTAGCGGAGAGAAAGAAAGTGAAGTGTCCGGGGACGATAATGCGATAGGGAAGGGGTCGCTTTTGTTTTAAAAGTGGCATACTCGCGTCGAATGGCCGATCAGGGAACGATAATCGTTCCATCCCTTGTCCCTGTGTAATTAGCATTCTGTTTTCGATCCACTATCGGTTGATATATCCGAGGGAGGGGGAGGGGAAAGGGAGAAGAAGAAGAGAAGGAAAGAAGAAACGAAGGAAGGAAGGATGAACTTCTATTCGAAAGAAACGAGTATAATTTACGTACTTAACTCCAGTCGAGGGGGAAATTTATGTAGCACTCGGACACGATTATTCCGGTGGAAAAGTTGTTGAACGTCGAACGAGGGAAATTCCGCTGAATATTGCGCTTACTAACCCAACACATAATGCGATTTCTTTGTTTATAATCAACGCTTTCCAACGCTTTTCTCTCTCCGTGTCTTTGTTACACTCTTTCGAAAAAGTGTAATACAAGAATGTGTTACTTCTATATTGAATAAGAACATGGGAAAATTGTTTTCAATGTAAATGCTTTTCTCAATGAATGTAAATTCGATCGAATTTCCATCTTTATTCTTTTCATATCGAGCCTTTGGTAAATTGGATCTCGAGAGAAAAAGAGAGGATGGTATTCTGTGATTTTTTTTTTTTGGAAAAATAATTTTCGTTTTACCTTCATAAAAATTACTCCTTCTGTTAAGTATATACGAGTTTCACGAGTTGAGAACCACCAGTTTAAATGGTAATTAGCAACGAAATCCCCCCTTCCCCATTTTCCTCTGATGTATTTTTAAAATAGAGGGTGAAAAGAAACAATCCTGTTATCCCGCGTTAATTTCGATCGATGGTATCGAAAGTAAATAATCGAATATCTCCCTCCGGATGATCGGTTTGTCGATGCTTTTTTCTCATAGTAATCGTTGCGTCTACAAAAAAGATAAAGAACAATTTCCCAACCCAAGTCGCATTCGTTCTCATCTCGCGGCCATTTTATCCATCCGTGATCGTAATTTCCTTCCTTAATCAGCGGTGAATATTCGTTCTCATTGCACGAGCTGTTTTATCGCC